CAGCAACTTACTCTTAGGGCGATGTAAGCGGCGAATATGGTAAAATTGCAAGAATAAAATTCTGACAACTGTGTTTTATTCTTGACAGGGTTGGATGAGGGCTTGTGCACCTCCTGCGATGACTTCACCTTCGCAAAGTTGATTTGACTCTGGTTTTCATCCCCAACCACCAACAAAGCATTTGCGTTGTGCTCAATATCTTCCGCATCACCATCAGTTTGCTCTTCTAGGCCCTCATCTTCCATTCTACACCAGGATTGTCGTGGTGGAAGTGGAATTGATAAGTTAATCGCCGCAGCAATGTGAGATCCCTTCAAGTCATGCACGAGTCGTCTAAAGTCATATCGCAGGCGTTTAATCTCCTGCTCACATCCCATTGCTGAGTTATTCATGTTGAAGTTTGTCTGGACTCGCCATTCTTCCTCCGCAGGTTCGTCGTCAAATTCCAATTGTGGTCGTTGCCGTCGTCGCCGTGGAATTTGATCCGCGTTCTGGAAGGTGACACGCGGCCGGGCATAGCAAAAGTGCTTCAACTCCGTCGCATCACCGCTGCTGCTGCTGCCGTTGCTGCTGCTGAAAGAGGCAAGAATGCGTTCATGACTACGGGACCACTGAATGAAAGTGTCAATAGTTTGCAAAGCAGTTTCAATGTAGTCTTTGTGTTTCGATTGGGGTGATTTGAGGGAGATGAGGCCGTACAAACCACACTTGAGTCTGCTGCATCCGCGGTGCCTCAGACCAGGCACAATTTGCGCAAATCTAGTCACCGAATTCTGACGCTTGCGACGTTGCAATGCAGCCCTTTTCTCGATCCGCCTTAGTTCTTTTCCCAATTTGGCAAGTTCAAGCGGATGAGATCGGAGAAGTGAAGGTATACTGCCGATTTCTACGTCTTCATCACGTACTTGTGATTGTGCAATCATTGCAGAACGTTGGAGGGCAGTTAAGAACTTCATTTTCCAGCGTTTGCTTGGTGTGCTTTTGAAATATTGATTCGGATTTTGCATTTTTGTTCTCCACTTTCAGTAACTCTTCCTCATGCGAGGTGGGAAAGCAATTGACAACTTGGCGTCTTTGTACATTTCCGAGAAATTGCAGTCCACCGAAAAGGATTTGAGGGGATCAAACCATAAATTTGCATTTTGAAAATCCTAAAAGGCACGCATGCTGCCCTACTAGACCGACCACTACTGGAAGGAACGTATGCTTGAGAGAGAAGCAATTATTATCAAGTAGCCCACTCTGCCGTCCCACCCCGACTTATCCCCTTCCTTCCCTTTCTGTTCCATTCCAATCTCCCCAATTCAATCCCACCCCACCCCAAGCCAACCCCACAAAGCCATGTCATGTCATGTCTTCTTCACTCTCCAATGCAACCTGGCACACGAACCACCAAGTGCACAACACCAACTGATACAACACGCCTTAATT